ACATGTGGCAGTTTCTTTTCTGGGCCATTAAGCCTTCTCTGGTGGTTCTCTGATTCTACTTCCACATGTGGTGCTGCTGAAGAAAAGTAAACAGTTATTAAACAATATAGAGGGCACAGAAAAAGCAATAGTCTAATAAAACAATAGTAATATCTTTTTATTTTATCAATTAGTAATTTTAATGGACCATAATCTTTAGTTAAATATGTACTTCCTTTATTCTTATTTTATTATCTTACATCTCATTTGATTTTATGTCTGTGTTTCTGTGTGTGTGTGTGTGTGTGTGTGTGTGTGTATTGCTAGAGATTCAACCCAGGGTCTTGTACATGGTTGGCACCTGCTCTACCACGGAGGTCATTCCACAGGTCTTTTTAGTTTATTTCATGACAGGGTCTGTTCTCCAGCACCCTACTGGCCTGAAACCTACCAGCAGTCTGCATCAGCCACCCAAGTCACTAGAAATGTAGTGTGCTCCACAGCACCACCTAGGATTATTTCTTTAGGAAATACTTCTACTCATCCTGAAATTCATCAAAACACCTGGTGGGACACTACATCACTACATGTCATCAGCTTTAATGCATACAAACATCTCAATGGTTAATCCACAAATTCATCTACTCAAATGAAAAAAATCCCCAGAAATTAAATTTGAAAATGCCATAAAAAATAAAATTCAAGCCATACACTCTTCTATACCTCTTGATAGAGAACGTGAATCATCTACTTTTCATCACTAATGGCTTCAAAAATTACTGATAACTTCTCACATCTTTATCAGTTAACTCCCTGTTCCTCATATCTGAGGTGGTATTCCTTTTTCTGTCCCTGAGACTCAGTTTGCTCTGTGAAATCCTACTTGATTATGGCTATCATTCCTTATGATGACATTAATGAGGGCTTCTTTCCTTGGGCCTACTTTACCAATTCATCAACTTCCCTACTATTATTTCACCACTAGAGACATCAACGATTTCTTTACAAGTCAATCTCTTTTGCTGCTCAACTGGAAGGGACAATCTTTTAGGTCATCTGGTGTAAACTGCCTATTCATTGGACCCTCTAAGTGTTGATTGAGCTCCTGGTACTGCTAGTGTGAATAAAAGGTGCCGGGGATGGTTTTTCTGGAGGTATTCCTGAGCTGAGACTTAAGAGGTGAGGGTAGCCCAGCCAGAGTGCAGGAAAGGGTACAAGCAAGACAGGAAGTAGCAAGAGAGAAGGATGAGTATTAAATGGGGTGTGTGCTTGCCCCAAAATATAGGAATTAGTGAGGAGTAAGGCCATAGGAAAGGGAAGACAGGAAAGGACTAATGATAGAGAGTAGGGCAAAAGTCATATTATGAAAGCACTAGAGGTGACATTGAAATACTTGCCCATTCATGTCCTTTAGTGGTTCATGAACATAATTTCATGGGAGCTAGATTTTTCTAAATGCTATGTGTATGGTGAATGTCAGGCACAACTGGATAAATGGAAGGAGATGAACAAGTACAAGGGAATACGCAACATTAAGAAGATGCCTGCCTGAAATGAAGAAATTCCCACAAAAAATATTCAATATAAACAATATTATAAAATAAGTTTTTATTCAATGAATACCGGTATAAATATGATTCCCTGGCAAATGAGACTCTGCTCAATTCTCTACAAAAGTATCAAATGATTTGTGAGGTGAATTACAGGGACTGTGTAAGTTGCTTGTGTTTACTTGGTTGGTTTTCACTTTTATATGTTCCTAGGTCCAGGACACTCATTTAGGTGTTTTGTTAATAATTTCCTGATTCTTGGATCTACCAAGCTCAACAATGAATAAGACAAGGCTAGGGGTGAGGCTCAGTTGTAGGGAATCTTCTTAGCATGCAAAAGGCCCTGATTTCAAACCCCTTCCTTTAAAAAGAGCAAAAGGAAGTAAGAACACTAAATTCAATGGTACAAGTAAGTACCTTTAAAAATTTATAACTCTTAGGAAATACCCTGGAAATAATTGATTTTCTTCTATAAAAAACAGTACAAGAGGGAGGGGGGATAGTAGAGGATAGGAAAGGTAGCAGAATACAACAGTTACTAATAGGGCATTATGTAAAAATGTGGATGTGTAACCGATGTGATTCTGCAATCTGTATTTGGGGTAAAATTGGGAGTTCATAACCAACTTGAATCTAATGTATGAAATATGATATGTCAAGAGCTTTATAATGTTTTGAACAACCAATAAAAAATAAATTAAAAAAAATAAATTTATTGTTAATATTATTTTCAATTGAAAAATCGGAATTGTATACATTTATGGAGTACATTGTGATATCTTAATAATGTGGCATGATTAAATCAAGCTAATTGACATATTCATTGCCTCACTTATCTATTGTTTTTTTTATGGTGAGACATTGGAAATTTACTCTGAGTTACAAAATATATTATTATTGGTTAAAAAAAAACAGTACAAGATGATAATGTACAGGAAAGAGAAAAACATGAAATAGGTGTGATTTCATAGTACAAACCCCATCAAGTCAGGGAATAAGGGCACTGACTTAACAGATACATAAAGTTGAACTAATGTTCAATGATATTATCTGCATAGACTTGGTGTAAAGTTAGTACTAAAACTGGTTTTTAAGGAGAGTTGTTCTCTCGGTTTTAAAAACTTGTCTCTAACTCATGGAGTCAAGGACAACTTTTGTTTTACCCCAAGAATAAGAGATTGTAATGTGCACCGATGTCCAGCAATTCAGTGAGAATTTTTCTAACATATTACAGTCTAAAACCATCAAATTCTGAATCCCTAAAAATTTCTAGGAATTCAAGTGGTGTAAAGATAAGTGTAGGAACATTCAATATTAAGATCATTTTTTTGTAATTGTATATATCTTTTTTTTCAAACACGAATACTAAACATTGGCATTTGCCAAGTTTTCTCAAATATTCCCACCAAACATGGAAAAAGAAAAGAAATAAAAATCGAAAGTCTTGGATAAGCAGGATTAAATGACCAAACTACCAAAAGCGCTTTATAGATTTAATGCAATTCCAATTTAAACCAATGATATTCCTCATAGAAATAGAAAAAGCAACCATGAAATTCATTTGGAAAAACAAGAGACACAGAATAGCCAAAGCAAACCTTAGGAAGAAGAGTGAAGAAGGTGGCATCACTGTACCAGAACTTAAACTATACTACAGAGCTATAGTAATGAAAACAACATGGTATTGACACCGAAATAGATATGTAGATCAATGGAACAGAATAGAGGACACAGTCACAAATCTACATAAATAGAGTTATCTCTTACTAGACAAAGGCACCAATAACATGCATTGTAGAAAAGTGGTGCTAGGAAAACTAGAAATCCATATGCAGCAAAATGAAATTAAACCTCTATCTTTCACCCTGCACAAAACTCAGCTCAAAGTGGATCAAGGAACTAGGAATTAGACCAGACTCTGCACCTAATAGAAGAAAAAGCAGGCTCAAATCTTCATCATGTCAGCTTAGGATCTGATTCCTAAGGTGCAAGAAATAAAATCAAGAATCAATAAATGGAAAATATTCAAACTAAAATGCTGCTTCTCAGCAAAAGAAAATATCAATGAGGTGAAGAAAGAACCTATTTGAGGAACAAATTTTTAGTACATTCACAACAAATAGAGAAGTAATCATCAGGATATACAAAGAACACAAAAACTTAACACCAACACTTAACACCTAAAAGCAAGCAACCCAATCAATAAATGGGCTAAGGAAATGAGCAGAGACTTCACAGATGAAGATATACAATTGTTCAACAAATGTATGAAAAACTGTTCAACATCTCTAGCAATTAAAGAAATGCAAATCAAAACTTAAGTTTTCTTCTCTAGTAAGAATGGCAATTATCAAGAATTTAAGCAACAATAAGTGCTGGCAAGAATTTGGGGAAAATGTATACTATTCATTGCTGGTGGGATTGGAAAATAGTGGAACCACTTTGGAAAGCAATATGAAGATTCCTTAGAAAACTTGGAATGGAACCACCATTTGAGCCAGCTATCCCATTCCTCGGCATATACCCCAAAGACTTCAAATCAGCATTCTACAGTTATGCAGCCATCTCAATGTATATAGCAGCTCAATTTACAATAGCTAAACTGTGGAACCCACGTAGATGCCCTTCAGTAGATGATGGATAAAGAAACTGGTTTATATACACAATGGAATATTAAAGATCAGCCTTAAAGAAGAATGAAATTATGGCATTTACAGATAAATGAATGGAGTTGGAGAATATCATACTGTGTGAAGTAAGCCTACCCCACAAAACCAAAAGGCAAATGTATTCTCTGATAAGTGGATGCTCCTCCATAATGGGAGCAGGGGAAGGAAAGGGAAGAATGGAGGAACTTTAGGTTGAGCAGAGGCAGGAAGGAGAGGGGAGAAGGTGTGTGTTGGGGAGAAGATGGTGGAATGAAACAGACAGTATTACCCCATGTAAAGGTATGATTCCATGTATGATGTGACTCTACATCATGTACAACCAGAGCAATGGAAAGTTGTGCTCCATTTGTGTAAAAAATTAAATTAATTAAGAAACCAAATGTGACACAGAAAAACACAACCAAGAATGTAGGTTTGACAAAACATGCAGTCAGATTGCCAAAACTAGATTATGATTTCCATAACCAGAAATCAAGTAGGACAGTGTTCATTTTCCAATGGCAATATGCTGATTGATGCAGAGAAAGTCTGACCACAGGATAAAATCATGGCCCTAAGAGGATAGCTGCAGGAGGACTGTAACATTGTGTCTCCTAACAGTGACACACCAGAATTATTTGCACCTGTTTATTACAATGATGGAGCCTATCCCTCAAGTTCTCCTGTGATTTAGTATGTGAAAAGTTGTGATAAAAGCCAGTGGAATACACAATTCTCATCAAAGAAAGCTTTGTGAAGTGATAAACTGGGATACATATTTTTAGAATAAAAGTTTATTTTAAAAAGTTATCTTTTTCCATACCTGCATTGGACACCAGTGTGCCTAAAATTCTTGCATCATCTGGCTGAGCTATGTTTGCTGTTCTCAATCTATTCCTGTGAGAAGATGTACCAAGATCATCTAAAAAATGATGTAGAAGAAACTCAAATTATTTGAGTTTGGTAATAAGAAAGGAGAGATAAACAGATATATATGAATGATTAGATATGAATATCCTTTACTTTTCAAAATCCATGTAGTTGATTCTCAAAGTAACAAATTGGGTATTCAAAGACTGAATGTGTTTGGTTCCCAACATTACTCTGCTATGGTATAACTTGTTAGTCTGAAGGATTTTAATGAAATGACTACCTTATCTATCTAGGGCTGAGCATGTAGCTCAGTGACAGAGTGTATGACAGAGTGTATGACAGAGTTTGTATGACCAAGGCCATGGGACCCATTGCCAGCACCAACATCAGAGGGAAAATATGAATCATGGGGAAATAGTCACTATCTTTCAAAGTCCAGCCAATGTTCCTGTAACAAACCTCATTTCTTATGAATAACTAACGTCAATACAACATATATCCCTTCCCTGCATATTATGGAAGAGGAAGAATGCATAACTTAGGTGTCTTCCCATGCCAACATACCCTCCTGCTTCCCATAATCTCTGGAGCAGGAATAATCTAATCTTTGCTTCCAATGCAATGTTTCATTTGCTTTCCAAAGTGCATTTTCACAAGTTTTCTCATAATTTCTTAAATTACAAAGCTAATTCCTTCCTTCCTTCCTTCCTCCCTCCCTCCCTCCCTCCCTCCCTTCCTTCCTCATTTACCTTCATTTCAGCATTTTCAAAGTATCCTCTTGATTGGTGGTTGTCATGCTTACAATGTTACATTCTCTGTACAAACTAGTCCCACTTTGTCTCTTTCCTCCATATTTAGCAATTGTATTAAAGAATTATACTTTCTGTCACTTCAACTTTTGGGTCCTCCATATTTGTCAGAAAGCATGTTTGGATATAACAAGAAAATATAAGCCATCCCTGGATCTTGTTATTCCTTGAACTTATATCCAACAGATCTTCATCCAGATTTTTCTAAAAGGAAGTCTATACCTTGCTAAATAGAATGTGGTCAGGATACCAAAAATTAAAATAAATGTAGAAGCCTTTAGGAATGTAGAATTCCAGACCTCCTCTGCTCAGAAAAATGTGCCTTTTTTAACATGGTGCAGACTGGATGATTCTTTGAGGCAACAGAAGCTCTGATGAACTGTATCAGCTTCCAATTCCCATAGTTGATCTCTATTTGGCACCCACCCTCCCTGTCATGACCCCAAATTGAAGCTGTATGAGAAGTCACAGACTATTTGATGGACATTTTCCTGCTGTGGTTTTCCTGATGTCTCCAGAAAAATCATACAATTTTTCTTTTCCTAATTCTCATTTGCTAGACTACATGGCTCTCTCCTAGGAGTACCAACATTTTAAAATAACATCAAATTACACACATGTATGGCTCGCTATGTTCAAAGGTTCATATTCATTTAAGAAAAAAAAATAGCTCTGCATGATCAGCTACTTTAATCCTTGCTGCCTTCCCAATAGTGATGTATACAGGCAGTGTGGGGAATTTCCACTTCTCAGACAAGTTTTGGAACTGGAAGCGCACAAATTCTCCCCACACTTGGAATAGCCTCTCCATCATCTTCCTAAAGTATTACATGAATTTCACTCCCACCAATGTATGCACCACCTTCTTTTCTTTTATGCACTCCGTCATTTCTCCCTTTCTTATTCTTCGTTCCCAATGCTCACATCCTTTTCTTTATTTTTTAACTTTCCTATCTGAAGGTGTTTGAAGATGGAATCAATAATTCAGCTCTTCTAGTGATACTCCTAATGAAATGTCTTGCTGAGCCTTTCTCCAATATGCCACTCACATATCTTTCATTTCTTTTTCCTTACTACTTATTAGGTGCCTTCCTTCATGTGTTAGAATATACCAGTGTACATGCTTTAAGTAAACATTCAACCTGTGAATTTTATAGGACATGTAACTCTTACCTTCTTTATGTTTGTTTATTTTCTGTTCAGCTCTTTGATCTTCAGCCACAGTAAACTTGCCAACACAGCTCAGTGGAAGAGGCTCAGAAACACTCTGGTAAAATTAACATTGATAATGAGTTGCAGAAAGATTTCCTTCTTGCTTATTAAGAACAGATCTAAATTCCCATTACTGAAATCAAAAAAAAGCAGACAAGAATTTATTACAAACTAAAACCTTTCCAAAGAGAACCTCATATATGCGCTCTAGAACAGGAATAATTTGTCTTCTCATGGCTATTGTATCTGTTAACACAGCATGGAAAGAGAGAGGGAGACATATGCAGAGACAAGGTCCTAACTAATGTGTATATTTTAGGAAAGAAATAACTTTACTACATGGAACTCTACTTATGCATTCCCCACCAATAAGAAGAGAGATATTCTTGAACAAACACTTTACACAAATTCTCATCTACAAACTTGTTATAATACAATGTTTAACATTTAGGACACTCAAATGGCAGGCATTGTTTTAGTGGGATAAAATAAATATAGTTGAAATGATAAAAGACTTTGAAAATATCATGTTGTATATAAATGGAACATTGTAGTAGCTGCTTAATTTGGGTAAACAAATACCTAGAAAACTACATATTTTTGGTATTCATTTGATAGAAAAAGGAGTTGAATAAGATGACAAAATAGTAAGAAAACATTTCTTGACATTCATTAAAAATAGCACACAGGTTTGGGTAGACTCTGCAACTCTTTTCTTTCAAGAAAGAACTTGAAAGATATATACTAAGAAAAAAATGTCAGTCTAGAAGTTTATGGCACTACAGAAGCTGACCTGAGATTTAACCCAATTGACTGGCTTAGAAATCCATGATGACACAGGTTACTGGGCAAAAACTTTGCAGTGCAACTGTATAGAGTCAGATACCAGGTGAGACAGAGAACACATTGGTTATTGGAATATTAAGAGAATTCCTAAAAGACATAAGCTACTTTCACACACTGGTAGGTGGGAGACTATAAGATCCCCCTCCAGAGATAAAAATGAAAGAATTCCAACAATCTCAGGAAAACAGACACCATTTATATAGACCGTCCATCACACAGTCTGTGACTTCTCATACAGCTTCAATTTGGGGCTAAAAAGTCAGTAGAGTTAACTCCAGGACATACAAAGAACTTAAAGAACTTAACACCAAAAAGGGGAAAAAACCCCAATAACCCAATTAATAAGTGGGCAAAGGAACTGAAGAGACACTTCATGGAAGAAGAAATACAATGGTAAAAAATATATGAAAAAAATATTCAGCATTTCGAGAAATTTAAAATAAACTGAGAATCCATCACATTCCATTCAGAATGGCAATTATCAAGAATGCAAGTTACAGTAAATATTCATGAGGATTGGGGAAAAAGTTCACTCCTACATTGCTGGTAGGACTGTGAATTGGTGCAAGCTCTATGGAAGACCGTATGGATCTTAGAAAAATTGGAATAGAACTACCAATTATGCCAGTTTGCGTACTCCCTGGACTATACCCAAGGGAGTTAAAATCAGCATACTATAGTGACACAGCCACATCAATGTTTAGCCCCTCAATTCACAAACACCAAGCTAAATAATCAAACTAGGTTCCCTTCAACAGATGAATGGATCAAAAAATGTGATATACATACAATTGAATATTACTCAGCTATAATGATGAATAAAACTTTCATATTTTCTGCTAAATGGACAGAACTAGAGACTATCAGGCTAAACAAAATAAGCCAATAAAAAAAAAAACAACCAATGGTCGAATGTTCTCTCTGATATGTGGATGCTAATCCACAACAAAGGAGGGTAGAGAAGAGAAGAATAGAAGATCATTGAATTAGAAAAAAGGAATAAAAAGAAGGGAGGGGGAGTTAGTAGAGAAAGTCAATAGAGTTAATTGGACTTAACTTTCCTTTTTTAAAACTGAATACATGACCAGTGTAATTCCACATTATGTACAACCACAAATATTGGATCCTAATGAAATGGGTTACACTCCATGTATGTATAGTATGTCAAAATACACTCTATTGTTATGTATATATAAAAACACCAAATAAAATTTAAAAAATAAAATAAAATGATAAAAGAGAAAAAAAATCAGTAGAGCTGAGGATAGTTTTGGAATTCCATGTGTGGCCCTGGAGACATGGGGCATTGCAAATTCTATCCTACATATTCTTAGTGGCTGACCAGGGAACCATTTCTTCCAGGGTTCCTTTCTGCAGGCTGACTGTATTGTTGATTCATGCAGTTTTTTATACCCGCACAACCCATCTGCATCATTAATTGACTGGGGCATCAGATTCAACTTGTCTCCCTCCTTGTCTCTCCTTGAAAATCCCTCCATCTCTTTTCAGCCCTGCTCTCCGTTAAACCCTGCCTCCCTCCTCATATCTTCTCCCCCACAAGATCCCATCCACAAATGCCTGGAGGTATTAGAGATGATTTTACCCTGCTCTATCACATTTCTGAGGGACCCCTGCCCTCTTCGGACCTCGTCTGGTTCTCAGATGGTAGCTCCTTTATATATGAAGGGGTTAAGGTAGCAGGATATGCTATCATTTCCCTCTCATCCATCATAGAGGCAAAACTTCTCCCACCCAATATCACCAACCAACAAGCTGAACTCATAGCTGCCACAAGGGCATGAGAGCAAGCGGAGGGAAAAACCCTCTCCCTATATACCTATCTCCCATGCAGCCATTTGGAAGAAAAGGGGCTATTGAACACCAGAGGGAAGGCAGTCAGTAATTCCACATTTATTTCTGGCCTACTACAGGCCTCCAGGCTGCCTTTGCAACTGGGAATAATCCATTGCAAGGCCTACTAAATTGACTCCTCCTTCTAGGGTTCTATCCATTCTTGTCTCTCCTTGAAAATCCCTCCAACTCTTTTCAGCTATGCTGGCTCACATGATCCTGACTTCCAATGGTGAGCTCTGCTGGTTCATATGATATTGCCATCCAATGGTGACCTTGCAGGCTCACATTATCCTTACTCACCAATCAGCTAGCACTGCTGGATCCCATGATCCTTATCCACCAATCAGAAAGCACTCCAGCCAACTGTCAAACCATTCAACCATTAAACTGTCATAACTGTGAAACTGACCTCAGCTCTATAAATATGCAGAGCTGTTTCTCAATAAACGGACAATATCTCCAACGGCAAGCCTTGATTGTTCTTTCAATACGGGAAATCAAAACGGACCAACAGTAGGCCATTATACTGAAGGAATAATGAAAAGCCCAGGACCAGACAGAGTCATGACAGAATTCCACCAGACCATCACAGGAGACCTAATACCAGTGTTCCTCAAAAGAATTACAAGGCATACTAAAAGAAGGAACGTGGCAAACACATTATAGGAGGGCAATATCACACTTACAAGACAAGTGCATGAGAACAAAACAAGGAATGAAAGTTATTCATAACATTCTTGAGGACCAGAGTTGCAGAAACCCACATAAAACACTAGAAAACAATATCAACAATACATGTCAATGATCATACACCATCATGAATCTGGTTGAATTTGAAAAATGCAATGATGTGTCAACAAATGGCAAATCAATAAACGTAGTATACCACACAAAGCACCAAGGAGACAAATTTATGGATAATTTAAAAAGATGTACAAAAAGCTTTCCACAGGCTTGAACAGGAGAAAACTCTGAAGCTATGGACAGCACGAACTTAATAAGGATTACCTAGGCTATGTACGCCGAATAAAACAAATGGAACACATAATGGTGAAAACACTATAGGCTTTCCTTTAAAATCAGAAAAGAATGAGATGTGCAAACTCCCCACTCCTAAAAAAAAACAGCACCTGAACTGTTAGTAAAATAAATGAGACAAAGGAAGAAAAGAGATGTAAAAAGTCATGTGTACAGATTAAGGGTTGGGGTTGTGGTTTAGAGGTTGAAGGACCTCAAAAGCAATCCCCAGAAAAAACAACAACAACAAAAAGAATAAACACGATAATAAAAGTTGGTGAGAATGTCAAAGAAATAGTATACTCACACATTATTGGTGTGACCACACATGAGGGCAATCACTGTGGGAAGCACAATGGAGATTCCTCCAAAAACAAGCAATGGAAACACCCCAGGATCTTG